TAATTAAGTATTCTGTTATAATCAATGATTATCCTAATTATATTTTAGATTTTTTTTATTTAAAATGAAATGTTTATCCTGTATTTGATTATGTTTATCTGCAGTTGGTTACACAAATTCAGATATAGAGCTTTAATAAGTTGTACTTATGCACAATCTACTTGCAATATTGAGTTTTAAGTAATATGCATTAATAAAAAGTACTTTACGCATAAAAAATGGTTTTTAAGAGTTTTTGTCAAATGTATATAGTATAGACTAGAAGAGTACTCGCGCAATGCAACAAGACACATCTCGATTTTAATGTTCTATTTTATTAGTTGTCTATGTCGATGTTATAATACGATTTTATGTGTTTTTAAGAAAACAATAATGATTTTGTTTTTGAATAAAATATAAATTTGAAGATATCATAAAAATTTGAAAAAAATATATATCAATGTTAATATCAAATCAACTATTTACAAGTTCTCATTTTTTATGTAATTTTTTTAATTTTTTTTGAGATAATTTAATTTAAGTTTAATAACGAAATAATTTATCTTTGTTTTAATAAGATAACATTTTATAAAGATAATAATTAAGTATCCTGTTAGAACTCAATGATTATCCTAATTATATTTTAAAATTTTTATATTTAAAATGAGATTTTTATCTTGTATTTGATTATGTTTATCTGCAGTTAGTTATACGAATTATGATATAGAGTTTTAATAAGTTATACTTATGCATAATCTACTTATAATATTGAGTTTTAAGTAATATGCATTAATAAACAGTAATTTACGCATAAAAATGATTTTTAAAAATTTTTGTTAAATATTTTATAATATAATATAGAAATGGTTAGAGATATATATTTAATTGAAGATATGAATTGAAGTGTAATCATTACGTAAATGAAGGGAAATAGTACTCATGGACATTGACGTTGGTTGGTTCATGCATCTGCTTTTCGGGTTACGACAGATTTTTATTTATAAATATAATAAAACGTTTTCTGAAGTGAGTTAACTCGTCAAACTTTTATTAATTACGAATGTTTGAGATTGTTTATTTAAAATAATTTATATTTTTTTATAAAAGTGTTTATTAACTTATCTGGTAATAAATTGGGGTTAAATAAAACAGAGTTAAAATTGTAAACTGGTAATAAGCAGTTTTTCATAAGTCAGGAAGAATTAACTTATCAAAAATAGTTTATTACCGGTTTGGCACCGGTATAAACAGTTTTTTTCCTTATCCAAACACCAGAAAACATCTTATCACTGATGCCAGACTAAAATAAGTTAAAAAACAACTTTTATAAACAATCCCAAACACCCTCTTATTCATTTAATTGTATCGAAGAGACGAAAATATCCTTCTTAACCATAGTATATAATAAATTTAAATTTCTTTTTTTAAATATGTTTTTAAGTATTTTGTATGTAAAAACATGATACCTCGTATATTCCAGAAATTACATTAAGAGGTTGTTTGTTTACCTCTTAATAGTTTTCATTAAGAGACAACATCTGAATCGTTAAGAGGTGAATCTTGTTTAACAAAAAAAAAGTATGCCTCTTAATAGTTCTAAAATCTTCTTCATTATTTTACATCATGGGTCTCCCTTAAACATTCAACGCCCTAATTTCATTATAAACCATGAACTTCTTACTCATTCTGATCACTTAATCATTCTGCACTAAAACATTAAACTAATATTTTGCATGAAAACTTTTTTGTTGGAGTTCGAGCTTTGTTCAAATTTCAAACAAGTTCGAGCTTAAAGAATTGTAATAGAGTCTGAGTCGAGTTTAGATTTTAACTACTCGAGAGTTTTCGAGTCGAGTTCGAGCTTGAGAAAATTACTATCGAGTTCAGGTCGAGTATATTGATACTCGAGCTCGACTCGCATAATTTACACCCCTATATAGACCCTACTTTCGGATTATACTATCTACTAAATGATTATCAGGTGTCGTTTATAATACTGAGTGAGCATGATGAGGATCGAGAATTTTGCTTGGTAAGAGGCATACTAAAGATCAAAAATCTTATCCGGTAAATGTTAGAGGAGATTCTTACTGGGTAACAGACACTTACCAACAATAAAGTAATTAAGTGAAGACGACAATTCTTGTAATTAAACATTTATTTGATAAACGTTTTAGTAAATGACCTCTGACTTTATTTAAACTGGTTTTTATCAAAACTGTAAAGCTCTTTTTGTTAGTAAAATGTTAACTATTACATTATCAGAATGTACTAATTATATTGATTTTGGTTCATATTTATAACGGTGTGTAAAAAGTTATCTGATCCAATTCAAACCGGCCGATTCAATTGTAAGTGGATCGGATTGGATCAAGAATTTCAACATCGAAATTGGATAGGTCGATTCTTAGATAACAGTTCAGAATCCGATACAATTAACCAAACCGATCAAATCCAATTATCATCCAGTTAATAACTATGTATAATTATTAATATTTTATGATATTGTTTTTTTAGTTGATACATATATACAGGGATAGACCTACTTTGGTGGTCACGATGGCACGTGCCACCGTATTATTCATCCGTCGAAGGGTAAAAATATGTAGATTCGTGAAAGGTGTAACCGTATTAATCTGTTGTGTGCCATCGTAAGTATTTTGAAACTACAATGAGAACAAATTTTATTCGGTAGAGTTGGTTTGCAAGGCTTTTATTCCACTCCAGACCCAAGTTCGAATCGTGTTAGTTTCCTTTTCTTATATATTGGTTTTTAATAAATTCAGAAAATTTATGAATAATTGAATTAAACAGTTGATTAATTGGTTGAAAAGTATATCAAAATATTAGATGTATCAAATCCAATGGATAACTAACAATAACATCCAATCGTCCATTGGATACGATTGGACCGGATGTCCAATTTTAATTGAACTGAATCAGATTACAAAATCCAACATCCATTGGATGATTAGATTGGATCTGGTCCACCTAAATCCATTGGATTTCAACTAATGAACACTCCTAGTTCATCATGTTTTTTCATATCCAGAAAGTATTTTAGATACGTTAATATTAATTAAAAACTTTTGTTAGCTTGTCAAATTAATCGTTTTGATATCTTTTAGTAAATTTGAACTCATGGTTAACGATGTCGATTTAATAGCGACAAATATATACCAGTCGATTAAATCTTACAAGAAAGATGGATTTGTATTGTAGCTTTTGAGAATTTTATCCATATTTTTTGCTTTATAAATAGTCGGAGTTATTAAGGATGATGGTCGGAGGGACAAATAAACCGATAAAAATGCTTATGAACTAATGACACTCCAACTTATAGAGTTAGGGGTCGTTTACCTAAATGCTTACTCGATAAGTGTTTACCAAGAAGAATCAACACTATGATTTATTTTGATGCATAAGATTTTAGTATATTAAAACATATTGAATGCAACAATTTAGTGGGTAAACGCTTACCTGGGTAAGAGTCGTCATCCTCACTTACCGGGTAAGACTCTACATCATTGTCATCGCTTCTATCCGGTAAGATTCTTGACCATTCTCATGTTCATCCGATGAGGAAATTTATCCGGTAGGTACTTACCAAGTAAGTGTTTAGTAAACGGCCTATTAGTGTCACAAACCATTTCCGGAATATGCAAACTCCAAAGATGATTTCTAGACTTATTAAGGTTAGGTGTCATTTTTAGAAATTTCATTAAAACTCAACAAGCAAACTTGTAGTTTACTCTTAATTTTATTTAATATTTTTATTATCCCTCTTCAATAATATAACGATGTCTTTCGTTGATCGATCGACAGATATGGTCGTCCTTTAACATGTCAAACATAAGATTTTGTAAGACGTACCAAAATTTAGGGCCTTCAACCTATGTAGTTGAAGGGTGGGGATATTTCTTTCATGTTAAATATTTTTTAATTAATATTTAATATATCAGATTAAAAAAACATATTTTTTTAAAGAAGAATACAAATATATAAAAAATAATAATAATAAATTATTTTATTTTAATCTTAAATTTCCATTAATATAACTTCTTCAATATCAACGTCATTTTGTATTTATTATAATTATTATTATATAACAATACCTCTTCTATATATTTTTATTACAACAATATTATTTTTTATAAATAAAACATAATACAACTTGAACTAATTTATATTTAAAGTTTTAATAAAAAACAACGGTTTATTATCTGAATTTTTTAAGATTACTAAAAAAACTGATGAGATTATTATTTAAATATTTCAAAACTTAAATAAGAATTAAATGATTATTCATTAAGTTTTAAAGTTGAAAAAATATGATGGATTATTTTCTGAATTTTTAAAGTTACAGAATGATTAATTATATATTTTATGAAAATACAAGTAAAAATAAAAATTAAGGATTAATATACGAATTTTTAAAGTTTTTCTTCGATTTTTATATGTATAAACCATACGACTATATACATATGGTTAAAATTTGTAAAATTATAGCAAAAATTGATATATTTATTTTCATAAATAACAAGGCGTATTGTGTTTCTAGTTTATTGATTTTAAATTTGATTGATATATAATATAAATACAAACTATAATTACTATAGACTAATAATTATTATTATGTATTAATTAAAAAATAAAAAAATGTAAAAGAGAGAGGTGAAATGATATCATTTTCAACTTTTACTTCGTTTAATGTTATTTATAAAGTTCAAAATTTCTTTATTGGTGTGAATTAGGCAGTTAGGTTCAGAAGATTATTAGTTGTTTAGGTGTTAATCAGCCAATTAAATTGTTTATTGGTTAGGTTTAAATTAATCAAATCTTGGTATATAGGTAACAACTAACAAGAACTTCAACCAAAAGGTGTTGCTCATTAGTTTGAGTTTGGCTTCAAATGTTAAAAGTACCAGGAGGTCCCAGGTTCAAATAAAAAAGAAATAAAAACCTCCTTGTAGCCACGGAGGTTCAAATGCGGTGACTCCGAGCTGTCTGCAAAGCATGTGGTCACATTCGAAGATTTATGACTTTTATTAGTATACATATACATACATTAGAAGTACGAAGCCCCAGGTTCAGAATTTCTAATCTAGTTATAAGTATGCGTTACTGAGATAATGATCGAGCAAGTTCATGGTAAAGTTTGAGCTCAAATGGTAACCGGGAACTCATCCAAGGCCCAAAGATCACCTGATCCTGACTCACACCCGAGTCCATCAAACTCAGTCGACTCATGCTCAAGACCTAAGAAACTCTCCAAGTTCAAGATTTGTTCACTGAGTTCGTACTGGTTTGTCGTTGGATGGTTGGGAAGACCACCGTAATCCATCATTAATGCATGTGGTGCGGGCAATTGTTCATACGCCATGGGATGAGTTGACTCGATGATGGTCTCGATTTGTCCTTTGAACTCGTATTCATCCATCAATTCAGGTGGAGGTGGCGGCAGTTCATGGTCTATTGGGTGGTGGGAGTCGGTGGCAGGCGGTGGCGTAGGTGGTGGCTGAGGGAAGTTGAGTTTGGCCTTATCACCTCGGATACGTGTGGCTGCTTCATCGTACGCTTTAGCAGCTTCTTCAGCTGTGTTGTATGTTCCAAGCCATACTCGAACCCCTTGTTGTGGGTCTCGGATTTCAGCCGCCCATTTGCCCCATGGTCGTCGGCGGATCCCTCTATAGAGGTTCTTTCGGAGTTTAGTTTTCTTCTCCATCGCTTTCGGAGTCTGTTTCTCGCTGCCTGAAGAATAACTCATTAAATTCAGCCATATTTGGTGCTCATTAATAGAAAGTTTTTCTACCATTCAAGAAATGAAGTGATTTTGTTTGGAACACTAGAAATCACAAAGGGATTGCAGCTTTTCCAATAAGACATGTTACTAAGCAGATTGAGGTTTTAAAAATACAATTGAGTTTTTTAGTAGAGTTTTAGATTAAGTTATTAAATATTAATATATTTACTTCAAAGTGTTAATTGTTTTTATTTTTCATGGATTTAATGTTAAAATTATTTAATAATTTATTACCAATAATTTTATATTTTCTTTGATATCGTTCAATATTTTAAGATAAGATTCTTCTTGTTCATCATGATTGAAGTACTTAGACTAATAATTTTATGTTTTTATAAAATCATTACACCAACCTATGCAATAATGAATATAAATCACGAGAATCTTATGTTAGAAAATTATCTACGGAAAAAGAAATACCATTTTAGCCTGTGACTTAAACAAAGTTTAGCTAAATAAACAGTATTAAAGTTTAAAAAAAGAAAAACGATCATGTATAATAAAGGTATACAAGAACGAATCTTAACCAATCCTAAGAAGACCGTGTTTTTTCAAGAAATACAAGGAGTTGTTTGACAGTTATTGAATGGTTTGATATAGAATAATTAAGTGGTCAGAATGATTAAGAGGCTCTCAGGATATAGTGGAAAATGAAATATAATTGTTTGATAATTGTTTACAATGAAATTAAGTGACTGAATGGTTAAGGGAGACTCATGATATAAAATCATTCAGAGAATTTTAGAATCATTAAGGGGTAGATCTTTTTTCTGTCAAACAATATTCACCTCTTAACAATTCAGATGCTATCTCTTAATAGAACTATTAAAAGGTAAACAAACAATCCGAAGAAAGTTTCAGGCTTAATTGGTCTATTTATACATCATACATCAGTATGGTATCATTACATAGCAGAAGTCAAAAAATAGCATATAATGTAATAAATGCTAGAGGTACTTTTGTCCCCTTAAAAATTATCGAAGCAATCAACTGTGACTTGAATTCAAAGTTTCACACGTTGAGGAATTTCATCCCAAATAAATTGATAAAAGTTTACTACGCTGTGTACTATCGTGGAAGATGGAAACAAATCACAGCTCAAAATATGACACCGTCTAAACCTCGTCAAAATCAGTCTAAAAAATTCCAAATCTAACGAACTTATAGAAAATACTGTCACGAACCACACATCAAACTTGCAAAATCAGTGTTTCATTCTTTAAAAATTTAAAGCAATAAACAAAAAAGCTCCGGTTCTGATTAATTAATTGAACACCTTCCTTGTACGAAGAAATCTCTTCGAAAAATTGACGTACGGCAGGATAATTCAGTTTTAATCAATAAAATTATTCGATAACTGCAGAAAATTTCACTTGTTTATCATGTACAACCTACAATTATCGTAGCCTAATTTTCACTATCAACACATAGAACGGCTGATTTTTTAATAGGTTAGGAAAAGAGAAAAATGGAGATGAATCTGAGAATCATCGAGGTATTCAATGACGAGATTCAATCTTCTTTCTATCGAAGCATCGCATTTTTCCATAACTAGTACGTGCATCTAATCAATATGATACTCACCTTGCTTGCGCTTCGAGGTATAGTCGTCGTTCCTGGTGGTACGGAGCAGAGATTGTGGCTTGATATCCCAGGCGAAAAGATCGTAGGTCTCGAACTCGTTCCAGAGATCATCTGAGGTCAGCTTCCGGCTTCGTTTTACGATCGGATCAACGTCGGAGATGACAGCTCCGCCACACATTTTTTGACGTTTGCTAGAGAGAGAAAATAACACAAACAAGAAGAAAGAGAAAATAGAATCGAATTGTAAGAGTATGGATTCGCGGTTGAGAAGAGTATTTATAGCGGAAGTCGTATGAAGTACAAAACGTCAAAGGTAAATTACATTTTTAGTACCTGTAGTTTGTTGAAATTTGCTATTTTTGTCCATGTAATTATGAAATTATGATTTTCATTTTCATAGTTATAAATTATCGTTGTTTTCATTTTTATTATTTACAATTTATTTCTGTTTTTCTCATTTTCCATTCATTTCTTTTTTCTCACTCATAGTTAAAGGTAGGAAATTTGTATTGGAGACGAAAATAACAAGAAATTACAAACCCTAGGGATGAAAACGGAAATTTCAAAATCATAGGGTTAAAATCGTAATTTCTGATAAACCATAGGGAGAAAAACGTAATTTAATTCAAAAATTAGTATTTACGTACAATTACAAAATATGTAAATACAATTACGGATTCCAACAAATAAACAAATCATTTCATTTTTTTTTATGAGCGTGAATTGACGAAAAGAACCTTGAACTTCAGATCAATTCTAAATATTTCAAAATTAACCGTCTGTTTGACTTATGTTGAGGAATGAAAATAACATGGAATGAATTTGCAATCCTCCGGTTTAACAATAAATGAAATTTTGAGCTTATGGGGAATGATTCCAATATATTATAGAAAACCAAACAGTTTCTTTTATTTTCATTCTTATTGACTACTGTCTCATACCTCTAACCAAACACCCCTTACAATTTTCTTCGGTTTGTCGAGTAGTAAAGTTCGGTTCATAAACATTCTTCAAATCGTCATAACCATTGTATTTTCAAAATTGTTGTAACCATCTTCAACGGCGAAGACGTTCTAGTTATCATGTAAATGGAATAGTGGTTTCATATAAGTAAAACCACGTGTTTATGTTTGTAATTTTAACCAAATTCGAATGTCTAGAATCCATTTGTCTAATCCTTTGTGGCCATGGAGGTTCAAATGTGGTGACTTCGGACTATCTGTAAAGCAGGTGGTCGTCCTAAGATTCAGGTTGATAAAAAAAAAGATAAAGTTAATCCTGAAAATCTAGTACTACTGTATAACGACTAATTTGACTCTTTGAACATTCAACTTGACAAACCATATAGCAATTTTGTTGAGAATATTCATGACTCGCAAACTGTAACATATATTAATAATGTCTTTTATTGTCATACGTCTTATATTTATCTAATTCGAATGTTACATGTGGAAAACAACCTGTATGCAATACGTATGTGACTCGTTAATTGCATTTTTTTTATACTAGTAAGTGTCTTATATTTAATCATACAAACTTTAGAGTTTCAATATATCGACCCTCTTTGAAAAATTGCTACTCATTTTATCAGATCTATCTTTTAAGGTCAGTTTTAAATGAAAAGACGATAAATTTGCAAAAATTTCCTGGATCATATATGATTACATGTGATATGCATACTTAATCATATAAAGTTAAGCATATGTTGCTTTGACCGCCACATAGCAAACGACCTTCCCCTGCGACCTCTGGTCACGTTCACCAAGTCGTTCACGTCCCTTATGTTTAATCATATATAATATACGGGGTCTCTAATTAGAGTTATTAGACAGTATCAAATGAGAATGAAATTAAAAGAAACTGTTTGGTTTTATATAATATAATGACTTCATTCCCCCATAAACCCAAATTTTCATTTCTGATTAAACTTTGGAGAATGAAAATTCATTCACATTTTCATTCCCTATTATTTTCATTTCTCATTCTGAACAAAACAACCCCCAAAATATTGTATAAAAGAAACATTATTAATTAGTAGAAGGGTACTCGCGCAATGCAACGAGATATATCGCGATTTTAATGTTTCATTTTATTTTTGTGGTCTCTGTCGATGTTATAATACGAATTTATGTGGTTTTGAGCAAACAATAATGTTTTTCTTAATAAAATATAAATTTGAAGATATCATAAAAACTAAAAAATTATATATATAAGTTCTCATTTTTTGTGTAATTTATTTAATTCAATTTTTATTATAATTTATTTTAGGTTTAATGACGAAATACTTTATTTTTGATTTAATAATATAATTTTTATAAATATAATAATTAAGTATTCTGTTAGAACTTAATAATTATTCTAATTATATTTTGGATATATTTAAAATGAGAATTTTATTTTGTATTTGATTATATTTATCTACAGTTAGTTACAAGACATAGAGTCCACTAAGCATATCTTGAGTTGGTGCGGAATTCCAATACGAAGCTTAATAAGTTGTACTCATGCACAATTTAGTTGTAATATTTAATTTTAAGTAATATACATCAATAAACAATCTTTTATGTATAAAAAATAGTTTTTACGAGTTTTTATCAAACACTTTATAATAAAGTATAAATCTCATTCACATTCCTTACTTAGAACCAGATCTCATCAATTATATCTATTTCCATTACTCACCCCTAATACCTTCAACAAAGCACTCCTTAGATTTCGAAGTTTGGGTTCAAGATTGTAATTGGTGTAAACTTGAGGGGCTATTGTGTAATTCCAGGATTTCTTTCATTATTACTTCTAAGGGGTTGTTTACCATACATTTATCCGGTAAGTGCTCACCGGTAATATCTAACACTAACATTTACTTACCGAGTAATATTTTAGTTTACTAAAACGACATTGTATGCAATAATTTATCCGGTAAACGCTTACCGTGGTAAGAGTGGTAGCCCTCACTTACTGGGTAAGACTTGGTCTTTGTCTCATTCTTACAAGGTAAGTTTTTGGTCTTTAACATATTCATCAAGTAAGGTAATGTGACTTGATAAGTGCTTACTCGGGCAAACATTTGGTAAACGGCCCCTAAGTGCTTATAGGGTAGTATTTATCGATATCACTATTTTACTTATTAAGTATGAGAAAAAACTAAAAATCTTACCCTTAAAAGGCATAAAATAAACCGAGAGCCTTACCCTCGTAAGGAAAGAAAAAGAACTCTTACCTGTAAATGCTTACCGGGTTTAAAACGTCTATCAATAATCCATTTTGATGACTGAAAATGTTATATGATAAGATAAGTCAAGGTACTTTTTTCTTGTCGATAAGTGCTTACACAATAAAATGTTTGGTAAATGGCTCCATTTAAAAAAGAACCTTATATTACATTTCAAATCCAGACGTTACCAACGTCCTTATGATAACTCCAATTCATTCGTAGTTGTCAGGGAGATCAATCGACCCACCGTTACCAAATTTAGTTGTTTTTGAAATATGATAAATTAACTACAAGGGTAGTGCTTGATTGTTTTGAGCTTGGTTTCAATGGTCAAAAGTACCAGGAGGTCAGAGGTTCAAATTTAAAGAGGAATAAAATCCCCTTGTGACCATGGAGGTTCAAATGTTGTGACTCCAGGTTATTTGCAAAACAAGTGGTTGCCCTGTGATTAGTTGGCTCGCATAGCGGATTGAATATTCAGGTTAATAAAAAAAATATGATAAATTGTTCAAAAGTGAAATAAATTGTTCAACAAAAAAAAAATGTCAACTTAAGCCCCCGGACTATTTGTTTGTGTCAACTCCGTCATATTTTTTTATTAACCTGGATATCCAACCCGCTATGCTAGCCGACTAATCCCAGGACGATCACCTGCTTTGCAGATAGCCCGGAGTCACCGCATTTTCATGCCGTTAAGTTGGTTTGTAAGCTTAACATATGATATTTTTTAAATAATTTTTTCTATTTAGTATTTTTTTAATACAAAACATTTTTTTTTATCATGTCTTTTTTTTAACACTTACATATTCATCTTTAATTTAACATTCCATCACTCATCAATCACCAACCATGATTACTGTTGGAATCCGACATCCGGCATCTATGACTGCGACTTACACCTACATGAATATGCCCCGACCATACACTTAACACGACCCACCATCATATTAATCACAAATGACCCGTTACCAACACGCATCATCCAGCACCCGTAAACTGTCCGTTTCTTCATTTGATTTCATCAGTTTTCAAAAATAAAATGCATAAAGTAAATGAAATTGAAAATTGAAACGAAAACAACATTAAATAAATTAGTAAAACAAAATCATAAATCATTAGCACAAAAAAAATGAATATTAAAATGGAAAACAAAAACATAGATAAATGAGAGATCCATCGGTTTTAGTTACAGAGGCGTCTGGATCTACATTTTGAAAGTGATCTACATTGTATGGATATGCGGGGTGTGGACCTATTAATCCCCGAGTGGGGTCCCGTCACCCGTGTATCCGCTCAACCAATTTTCGTAAGTAGAATTTCTTTTGGGGGTTAAAAAAGTACAGCCATGAAACTTTGAGGGTGCTCCGAACGTTAAAAAGTACAAGGAACATCAATCAAAAAACCGAAAAAGTCATTTGAAATCAATCAAAAATCAGAAAAAGCGTATGAAAATCAACCAAAAAAACTGAAAAAGTCTATCGAAATCAACCAGAACCATAAAAATCAACCTTTGAAACGGTGAAATGCAGCTAACAACACATCAGACGAACTCTTGGGTCCGCCACTGTGGATATGCTTATGTCGTAATAATCAGATGGGTAAAAATCAGTTATCCCAAATTTCCCTCTCATCCATGTACAACAATCACGTAAATACACATCAACAGAGAATAAAAACACCAGTTTAATAACTTTAGATTAAACAAAATAATTTTCTGTTTTTATATGATTGATGAGACAGAGAAGTTTGAGACAACATATTTTAACCTTAATAAGACAATCACTTATTTGAATGTCAGTTGAAGAACTGTAATTATTTAAAATACAAATAGATAAAGCGACTAACGAGAATTGTAAATAGTTTCGTTTCAACAAGTTTCAAGAATAATTATTTGAACCGTAAATAATCATATAAAACATTATTTATTGGACGAAACGACTAAAAGAACATTTTTATAATAAAAAAAGAGACATCATAAAATTGAAAGTAAAAGTTTATCAAATTAATGGGTCGTTTACTAAAT